TGGCTACACGGTTTAGTTGCTTAAAATTTCTAAACAATTCCTTGATACCATCTAAGCATACAAGTGAAATCATACAATTGCTAGCTTGAAGTAATATCAATTGAAAAAGTAGAAATGTAGACACTTGTAGTAGTATTTGTGGATCTTTCAACTCATCACTCGATATAATTAAATTGCTAAAACTTAGGATATCATAGAGAAAAAACTTGAACAAACTGTCTTAAGTAAAGACATAAGAGGTTGTTCATAGTAGCTTGAAATGTTGATAGGGCTTTACAAAGACCAAATGGCAGCACTAGGAATTCATAGTGTCTATCAAATGTGTGGATGACAGTCTTGTATAAGTCTTCGGGATGGTAATCCAAACTTTGCATATTTCTAATGTATAGATTTTGATCTTAGTATATTTTTATTATTTTTTCCTTTCGTGAATTTGTTACACTTTTGGTTTCATTTTCTTTTAGATTGGATATTTCATACTTGAATCTGAAATGAATGATAAAGAATGTAACCCCCTATTTTTCATTAAATATAATATAAGTATTTAATAAATATTTTTGGTATTTTTGTTTTAATTAATATAATTGTGTTAATATTTATTTTATTTACTTGACATGTATTGGAGTATTATATAAGTTGTTTTAATTAAATATTTTACTTAATTAAATAAAAGGGAAGTGATTTATGAGCATTTAATATTTAACTGGAGGATTATAAAGGAGTTAATATTTTAAAGGGAGCAGTTTTGAACGATTTTCTTTTTATGCTCCTTCATTTTACATTTTTCACATACACACTTTGTTTTACGTTGAGAGCTCGAAGAATAGGAATAGAAAGGAAATCATCACAGGATTGTGTATTCATCTTCTTCTACTTAACAAGGTAAAGAGGGAGTGAGAAACCTTGCGTTAATGTGTGGATTTGTATATTGGATAATGGGATTGACCCAATCATGTCTCTATTAATTGTCTGTGCAAAAGGGGTTTTTCCCAATTTTATTTTTTTGCTTCTATTCTTTTTCTTGTACATAACTAATGGCATGAATTGTTTGATTGTATGATTAATTGCATGTTTTGGTTGACAATTACATGATATGAGATCCCTATGGGTTCCCATGGGAAACTGTAAAGGAACATGTTATGATAGTTGGGTGAAGATATATTGGTTTATATGTGTAAATTGAGTAACATGAAATATTAATGGTACGTTATAGGACGATTTTATGGTGAGTAGTCTTTCTTTATTTTAGGATTTGGTTTAGCTTTATGAATTGATTTTCTTCCTTTTATGTGAATCTTGTTTCTCTTCTTTATTTCTTTCTTATTGTGTTAATTTATGCAAAACAAATTGGCTAGCATTATATATCATTTTATGGATTTGGGAAAGAATTGAGAGGTGAACCCAAATTAATTGATCCATAGGGAAAGAACATAGGTCTAAACTACAAGAGTAGGTGAAAGCTTTGGGGATTAATTGAATTAACAAATAGCGAAAAAGATCTAATTGAACAAAGCTACTAGGAAAGTAAGGTCAATTTAATTAGATACGCTTTTGTCTTTTGAGAAAGAATGAAAGATACATTAGGTTATTTCACCCTAAATGAGAACAAGTGAAACATAAAGGTGGATAATTAATTTATTGAGTCTCAATTAAATCCTAAATCTATTTTTATTAGCACTTAGTTTTCTATTCAAATTATCAAACATTTAAATTAACAATTCAATTCTAAATTCTCGTTTTAATCTCGCTAATTTAGAAATTATGTTTCCAAACACATGGTCCTTGTGGATTCGATACATTTTATTACTTAACTATATAGTATACTTGCATTCCTGCACATCAGGAAATTGATCACACATAGTAACTGCATTTAAGGCTTGGTAATTGGTGCAAAAGCATCAAGAGTCGATACATTTTAATACTTAACTATATAGTATACTTTCATTCCTGCACATCAGGAAATTGATCACAAATAGTAACTGCATTTAAGGCTTGGTAATTGGTGAAAAAGCATCAAGAGTCGTCCTTTTCTTTTAACAAGTAAAATGGGTGAGGAAAAAAAGATTTTGTTAAGGGTAATAATTCCCTTGGCGAGCATGCCATAAATAATGGTAGAGTGATATGGTGGGTGAGGAAAGCCATTGGAGTGGAAAAGACATGTGAATATTTGTGAATGGTGGCTTGAAGCATTTGAGGAATGTTATGAGATAGAGTGATATGGTCGGTAAGGGGTGATTTAGGGAATAGGGATATGGTAAGGAGATGGAAGGAAATAGTAGCCTTAGTGGGAAGGTAATGGCATAGTTGGTGGTAAGATGTTGGTTTGGGTAAAAAGGTTGAGTCACCTAATAAGGTAATAAGGGTATTACTGTAGAATAAAGAAGATTTGGGGTGGGGTAAAATCAACCTAAATGGGGGAAATTGAATACAACCAATTTATACTTAAAATTACATTGACCCCTTCAATCAATAAGAATCAAGTATAAGGTAATATGAGATGTGTGGCGTTGAAGAGTGAATGGGATGTGGGAGTAAAGGCCATGGCAAGCAACTTCTTTGCCATCATCGACCATTATGAAAAAAGGGAGGGATTGGAGTGGAGATAACTTTAAGGTGAGTAGCTAAGTCTGGTTGAAGGATGTTGTGGGAGCTACATGCATCAACTAACACAAATACTTGTAGGCCAAGTATAAAGCCCTTAAATTTGAAGGTTTGAAAGGATGGGAGACAATTGAGGGCCTTAGGGACATGGAGGTGTATGGGTTCCTCGTCAAGTGTAAAGATCAAAGGTTCCTTAAAAAAAGGGGGTCTAATTCATTAAATGACTCATTAGAAAGGAGAAGTAAACAAAATTGGTAGAACATTTGTGATCAGACACAAAATGTTCATCACAATTGTAACACAACCTGTCTGCTCTATGTTCTTATAATTGAGCCTAGGTTAAACAAACAATAGGTAGGGTATTGGAAGTTAGAGGTAGATTCATAGGGTTGGTGGTTGGGTGGGGTGAAAGATTATTTATAGTAGGTGTAGGGATAATTAAAATCATGTAACTTGAATTCAACGAGCATGGCTAGACCTACAACTTTGAAAATATGGTGGTTGGAGGATGGTGATCTCTTGATATATTATTTATAGGTTAAGACTAGTAAAAAAAAAAAAAAAAAGTGAAGACTCACATCTGAGGTTAACCCAAAATTCAATTAGAAATCTTTTTGAATTGGGCATGGTAGTCTTCCTTTGATCCATACTTATGCAACTTGAATAACTCATCTTGGTGATTCTTAAATACGAAGGGCCAAATCGAAGTTCTAAAGCTGGAAGGATGAAAAACCAATTCGAGAATTGGTGATTCTAAATCATCCATTCATACTAGCTCAATGCCTCCCCTTTCATGTAAAATCCAAAAAATGTGAACACATTGGTCCCATGGGACATGGTAAAATTGGAAAAACTAGATGACCTAAAAAATCCAATATAGGGGCTCAAAATCGTCAAATGGGTTTAATTGATGTTTAGGGTTTTGCCTTGTTGTGTTGAAAAATACTAGGGTGGTGGGGCAAATAGGAAGAAGGGTTGATAAGGAGGTGGTATGTGGGAGGTGCTAGGGCCAATGAAAGGTGGGGGAGGAGGAGTTGGTGGAGGAAGGGGTGAGGTGGAAAATTATAGACATTGGTGTTACACAATTTGGGGTAGGGATCTATCGGATGCCTATTATGCAAGGACAAGAATGGAAGCAGTGGATTCAAAACAAGAATACATGATTGTTTGTAGGGCTTGATTCACTACAAGAATGCACAAAAGTAGCGTTGGCCACACAGCGTCGGGCATGGAGCAGACGCATATAACGTCAATTAAGGTAACTCTAGAAGGACAATAAACATAAGTCATGTAATATTTTATATTATTTCATTAATTATTTCATTTACTTCGATCAAAGCAGCCGCTAAATAATAAATTTTATTTTAATATATATTATCATAGATGTTAGTGTTGGTTTAGCCAACACTATATATTTTTAAAAATTTATAATTATGGACGAAAGTCATTACTCAATCAGTTTGTTTTATAAAAAATAATATATTAAATATTAGTGTCTGTTTAGCTGACACAAAGAATTGAAAATTAATTAATAAAACTAATTATACGAATAAAGAAACCCGAAAAGGGTTGAAACTCACTAAAATCGTCCAAGTCAAAATCTTTCACACATTAAACATGAACCCCAAGTTCTAATGTGTCTCACGCCCCCTTCTACATCTACCCTAACTCATCAATTCTCCCCTTCCTGAAAGCAAAACATGAACCCTGAGTTCTAGTATGGCTCATGCCCCTTCTGTATTCACTCTCAATGAACCCTAACTAATCAAATTTTCCCTTCCCAAAAGCAGAATATGAACTTAAGTCCTAATGTGGCTCACGCCCCCTTTTTCTTGTACTCCCATTGAACCCTAACATGTCAATTCTACCATTCCAAGAAGTAGGAAAGTAAAGTAAACAGATCGAGAAGGCATAAGGTAGACGGAGTGAGTCATGAAACATATACACTCACAACGTTCGCCACTCTTCCTAGCAACACTCACCTCTTCACTTGTTCCTAATTGAGGCTCGGGCTCTTCTCCTCGGACAAAATCCTACTAGTTTCCCAAAACCTTAAGTTTGACAACAAGGGTATTTTTCACTTTCTCTCTAAGCTTACCTTAGAAAAAATGCTCTTTTTGTTGAGTTGCTCTTTTTTATTTTTGTTTTAATATGTGTTGAATTTTGAAATTTGTGCGTTTCGTGGGGGACTAGGGGTTGAGGTTAAGGGATTAAACTACTTAATCTGGAGCCCAGTCTTAAAGAAATCAAACTTGAAACCTTAGCATATAGCTAGTCATTACTAAGAAAATTTGACAAGTGACACTAATAGCATGCTAAAGCTACACTACTAGAAAATAACCTAAAGTTATCATTAGAATTTAGAATCAAGGAGAAAATAAAAAATATTATAATAGGAATAATATTCAAATTCTTTTATTGATACCTCAATACAATGTAAACCTTACATTAAATAACAAACACAATGAATGACAACTCAACATGCGTCATCACCTATTATTGTTATGAAATTGAAATAAAACTTATACTAATAAATAAATACAATAATATTTCAAGTTATTCTATAAAATATTTAAAAGTCACTTAATTTTCTTTCTTTGGGTGCTTTTATTAAGCCCATCCTCTCATACACCAAATTAAAAGAAAGATAAGGAAACCGATTGTATATATGGAATATAACTCATTATTATGGGATACGTAAAAGAAACATAAATGTTAGCTCTTATATATAGCATTGAACTCATCATTTGGTAGAATTGATCCTTGCAAAATCAAGAGACTTGTTTTTTCCCTCATGAGCATTCCCAAAAAAGTTGTCCATGTAATCTTGTATTTCAACTTCTTTGTATCGAGCAAATCCGTCATTCTTCACCACCTCTGAGAATGGACCAATCTTCCCCACAGGTAAAGGCTGAATAAAGAATGGAATGGATATCCTAGGTTGGGATCTAGTTGTTCTTGTACGGTGTTCAGCACTCTTGTACCTCCCATTGCTCAGTATCTTACATATTCAACATAGAATTACCAACAATTAATGGTTATTATGATACATTGGTATGTTCATGAGTTTAATTTTGATACAGTACTAAATCAATGCATTTATATTTTTACATGCAACCAACTTATATAATGATACTTTTAGAGCGTGTTTGATTATTTTTTTCTTTTTTATTTTTTAATATCCGTTTAAAATATATATATATATATATATATATATAATTTAAAGAGTAAAAATGGGAAAAGATGTAGAAGTTTAGGGAAAACGTGGGTATTAAAAAATTAAAAGTAGAAAACCTAAACAACTTAGAAACGTTCTGCTTTGGTTTTTAAAACTAAAACAAGTTATTAGTTTTGAGAACAGTTTTCAAATTAAACACTACTCTTTTCAAACAAGTTTTTTTTTATTAAAAACAGAAAATGATTTTCACGTAGAAAACAATTGTCCACAGCTTACTTTTATAGTAATTATTATTATTATAGAACTCAATAATCAACGAATCGAAGTTAAATTATTAATTTTGTTTTAATTAATGAGTTGTTTCCCACATTGACAAGATATTATTACCCTATTCTAAAGCTGATAAAATAGTTTGTATCAGCCTTGGATAGGATTAAAAAAACACTTCTAGAATTGGCATTTTAAACATAGAGTATTTGAATAGAAAATATTTCTCTTAAACATTTTGTTTTCCATGTTTTATCATGGGTCACTCGAATAGAAAACGCTTACGAGAAGGCATCATATTAAAGTAAGAAAAATTGATGAAAAATCACAAAATTTATACAATTAAATTTAAGTAAAAATATTAAAATAAATCAATTTCATTTTATCTAATCTAATAAACAACTTATCATATTCATAATATATTAAAAACTAAATAAATAAATAAATAAAATTATAAATATTATCTTAAATCTACACATATAATAAAATTAATATTTAAATTTATTTTTTATAAATTTTAAAAATGAAAAATAAATAGATATAATTTTTAAAATTAAATTACAAACTATTTATTTTGATAATAATTTTTAAATTTTTTATTTTTAGTATTTTTATTTTCTTTTAATTTAAAGTGGCCAACAAGCCCTATTGTTGCTTCCTCTCTCCAACCTCTGACAATCATGCATGATCGTCACTCGCCATACACTACCGTTCATTGTCGTCTAAAGTGTCACTTTTTTCCTCTCTCTCTCTCTCTCTTAATATTTTTCTTTTCTCTCCCTTTTGTTTTTTCTCTCTTGTTTTAGTCTGCTTTTTGATTTGAAGCAATCACCATGAAGGCCCTCCAAATTGTAGCAATCAGACTTTATAGTGTCATCAGATCACTTTTCAAAATGAAGTTTAGATATATACTTTATTAAGTTTGATAATTGTTATTTTTCAATTAAAATTAAAGTTTTATCTCGATATTATATATTAAAATTGTGTTATCTTTTTCAATTCAATAATATAGGCCCATGATGTTTGGTGAATTTTGGCTATTATATGATTATACGTGGAGATGGGTATGATGATGGTAGGTCTTTCTTTCTTAGAATTCTCTCTATTTAGCCTTTCCTTTGATACAATCCTCTATCAGGATCTCTCGTGATGGATGGTCTATCATGACATTTTATTTTATTTTTAATATTGAGTATCATGGCATTTTATGAGTCAAAGCCAAATAATAAATACGACTTCAAATTAGACATATACTACATAAAATAAAATAAAAAATTAGACACAACATTTCATTAAAAATATACACTTTTATTACATTAAAAGAATAATGTAGTTGTCGCAAATTTTAAAAAGATGTATCGAATTTTTCATTCAATTTATGAGTATGACATTGTTTGTTATCAACAAAATATTATCATTATATGTATTCTTTTTTATCCTTATTAATATATTAACTTTTATACTAAACTTAACATATGCATATATCGCACAAAATAATTATTTATTTTATATAATTATAAATATGATTCATAATAAACAATTATTTTTGAAATTTTAAATTATATTAATATTAAAATTTGTAATAAACATATACAACTTTATAATGAATATCAACAATCATACCTTTAAATTAAAACTTTATACTAAATAGATCAAGTCTACACATATTTATAATATTTTATTTCATTAATTTTAATTGATGTATAATATGATTTTGTTAATAAAAATTAATTTGAATTAATATAATGAAATATTAAATAGTTTTTAAATTTAATAAAAATTTATAAATTTGATTTATTCATTAAGAATTTTTAATTTAATAGTTGGATCATTGAAATTCAATGTACAAGTTATTGAGTGAAGTAACTTTACTAAAAGTTACTTCATTCAATAAATTATTATTTACATTAAATTTCAACTAATCATTAAATTAATTTTTTTAATAAATAGATAAAGTTTACAAATATTTTTATAAAATTCTAAGATTATTTGATATTTCGTTATTTAGGTTTATATATATATATATATATATATAAGCATATTATATATTAATTTAAATTTATATAACGAAATATTAATTAATTTTCAAATTTTGTAAAAATTGTAGATTTGATATTCTCATTAAAAGTTTTAATTTAACAGTTAAATCTTTGAAATTCATCGTATGTCATTAGTTATTGAGTAGATTAATTCTACCAAGAGTTATTCTTGTATGTATATGGGGGATCCAATTATTCAAAGCTAAATTCAACTGCTAAATTGAACGTTTTTAATAAATAGGTCAAGTCTACAAGTTTTTTATAGAATTTGAAAATTATTTGATACTTCATTTCATTAATTCAAATTGACGTGTAATATGTTTTTATGAATATAAGTCAATTTAAATTAATGAAACGAAATATTAAATAAATTTGAGGGGAGTGTGTGTGAGAGAAAGAGAGAGTGTAATGGATGTTGAAAATCTCTAATTGAGAAAGGGGGGAGAGAGTGAGTGTTTCACTATCTAAGTTAGAGATTTTAATGTATAATATAAAAGATATTATTTATAATTTCACTATAAAGAAAAATTTCATGTAGTGACATATATCCTATAATGATTCAATACTTATTATTAAAAATTACTTTTACTTACATTATAGATACAATACATATGTTGATATATTATTTAAAAAAATATATATATATGTATAAGTTATAGTGACATACAATTCATTCAACATCAACACTAAAATTATGATGAGTAATTATATGTCAAATAGATTTATATCTATATATATTATATGTATAGTAACAATTTTTATACATCACTGTATGTAACATTTCTTATATAATGTTTAATTTTTAGTTGATTTTTTTATTAGGTTGAAAAAAAATAAAATAAAAAATTGAAGTCATAATGATCACATGTCATAATAAGTTTAAAATTTATTTAATAAGAATTTATAAATGCAATACAGTACATAAACAAATAACAACCAATAAATTAGTACTTTATGATCACATGTAATTTATTAATTTAAGTATTTATATAATTAAAAAACTATAATTAATATGCACGTTTATAAGAGAAAATGGGAGATGTGTTAAAAATCATTTAGTATTCTTTTTAATATTTTCTAGATGTTCCTTTATTTTGATTTTTTAGGTTAATTTTGGCTAGTCAACATACCAAACCCATTTATAAACAAGGTGAACTATATTTTCCAATCCACTTTCTATTCATCAGTTAACTTGTCCTATCTCACTTTAGGTGAGTGAATAATGTGTTTAGATCAATTGATGTATTTTATCATCCTAACTTTAATAGTATGACTAAAAAATATTGGTACTACCTAGTTATCATGATAGCTCCCTCAATTTTATAATATCCTAGTTATCAAGTTTTACCTTCATTGTATTTCATTTGAGTTATTGATCACTTGAGTCTTAGGTTTTAAGATATCAAACCTGTAACATATCACCAACATTGATGACTAGAGCTCCAGGTATTGGTGGAATTTCAACCCACTCTTCTTCTCCAACGTTGTTGTCTTCTTTTTCCACTTTGATATATAAGCCTCCAATTCCATCTTGGAGCAAGATTGTAAAAATTCCTGGGTCTGAGTGACACCCTACACCTACTGTAAGCTCTGGATTTGGACATGCTGGGTAGTAGTTCATGTTAATTACTTTCATGCTGAGAAGATGCTCTATGTTTGATTCATCTGGTGAGACCCCAAGTGCATCTATCAAGATTCCTAAAACTCCACTAATCATCTTGGTTGCTAACTTCATAAACTCAAGTAATAATTCCCTAAAAATGTAGAAAGAATGTAGAAAGAAATACTTTAGACCAACATATTATATTATAAAGAAAGTGTCACGATTATTTTTTATTAGAACCTGTAAGATTGGTTTAGTAATAAAGAGTTATTAGTATGAAATTTAGATAGTATGTAAGAGATCAAATGTTATAACTTAAGTTTGACTATACTATATATCATATTTGGTTTTTTTTTTTATATAATTTAAGTTTGATTATACTATATATCATATTTATTTTTGTAACTTTTTGAATAAAAAGTTTGAATAGAGTAATTTTTTTTAAAGAATCTTAAATGTTTTGGAATGAAATATTTTGTTTGGAATAGAGAATTTAAATAAATTTAAAATTTAAGTATTTGTCAAATTCTGTAAAATAGTAAAATTTTAAATTCTCTTAAAAGAAAAAAATTTAAAACTCTTCTTACTTTTTTCTTTCTTATCTAACCTATATAAAAATAATCAGTTTTTAAATTATTTAATATACAAAATATTTTTTATTTTTTAAATATTATCTAATATCAATTTTAAAACAAATAAATATTTAAAAAATAGCTAATATTTGTTTTTATAAAATTTAATCTTAAAATTTACCCCCCTCTCTCTCTCTCTCTCTCTCTCTCTCTCTTTCTTT